TTTAGTATCTTGTGTTCCCTGGGGGATCGTTATGGTTATGGGTTTGTACTTCGAGCTATCGTTGATTATCTTTGTGAGGATTGTGTGCGGGATGCGGCGTTGGTTTGAAGGCGACGTTAGATTCGGTAGTCTGAGGAATTGATAGTTGAAGATTGGGTTCCTTTCGAGCAGGTTGTGCAGCATGGGAACATGATTGTATGAAAGTTGTTGGTGCTGGTGAAAAACATTTTGAGTGCATGTGTTGATTCCTGCAAGGTTGCTTGGGGAGATCGATGATGGCAACCGGTGATATCTGTCAGTGTCTTAAGGGGGAGATTGGAAATTCTCCGGAGATGATCGTTGGGCCTGAGAGGTTGTTTAGCTGCTTGGGAAATTCAGCGGTATTTCTATTAGTTGAGAGCAGGCTCGTATGAGTGAGTACAGGCGTGCGGGGCGGAATACAGACCTAGAGCAGTTGATTGGGAAGGCATGGGAGCAGGCCGGGATCGAGCATGTAGGATGGAGATAGAGTTCGGAACCCCTAGAGGGTTAGAACGGTATGCACGGGAGGATTTCCTGAAGAGATAGTTCGGAATAGTGAGTGCTTGTTGAGCGGTCCGGTTAGACTGAAGGCCGTAGGCGTACCAGTCAGGCCGAAGGCTCGGAGGACGGTCCAGTCAGATTGGCTGAAGGTTCTGAGAGTGGTCCAGATTGGCTGAAGGCCGGGGAGGCGGTCCAGTCATGCTGAAGACTCTGCGGGTAATGTTAGATCGGTTGGAGGTTATGGGTTGCGTATGTTGCAGTGGGAATACATTGGGAGGTCTGGCCCGGCGAGCGATCTTTAGCGGTAAAGGTAGTGCACGGGCTTGAGAGTCCTTGTGATGAGAGGCAGAGTAGCGGTAATGCATGGATGTTGAGTACGTTGTAAGGAGGTAATGTGGCGTAGGTTAAGCACCAGGGTGCCTGTCATGATGAGCGAGCAGACGAGTGATTTCCTTGGTAAGGAAAGAGGGAGGAATGAAACTCCGAAAAGGGAAAGCGAATTCACGGAAGTGAAAGCGGCAGTGTGGAGTTGCGATCACTGTGGTCCGTCGATGGTCTTTGAGTAGTGTGTTGCGGCGGCAGAAAATAAGCTTATTCGACTCGATATGTTGCTTTGGGCGCAGAGGGAATATCGCGACGTGGAGTCAGGGAGAGGAGTTCGGAAGGGATACAGAGCAGGAGTCTTGGACTCTCAGTGGGATCATGATAAGGGTTCTGGGTATGTGCCAGTGG